ACCAGGGGCATCCCAGGAAATGCTGTTGGGAATTCTGGGGTTTTAACTGATTTCCTGTGGTGCCCAGGGGGTGGATGAGGATGATCCCGAGGGTTGGAAGTGGGGTTGAAGGCTGGGAAATCCCCGGCCATGGGGTCTGAAGGGATTCAGGCCTTAAAGCTGCCCCTGGAACGAGGGAATGGGCGGATACAGCAAATATTTGGATGCTGTTTTCCGGGTTACTGCAGGAAATGATTCCCACTGGAGCCGAGATTCCCAGCGGAGCAGCGATTCCCAGGGGAGCAGGGCCTGCTGGTGCTGCCACCGGTGGGATGGGCTTCCTGGGAAAGCCTGGGAATGAGGAGGAGGAACTAACGAGCCCAAGAATCCCAACAGCCCTCGGAGCTGCGGATGAAACATTCCCGGGAAGACGCAGCGCTCCGGGAAAAGGCGGGAAGAGCCGGATGCTGCCAGGAAAGCCATGTTGGGGCCAAGGTGTGGGAATAAGTCACTGATAAGGAACTTGGGCATGAGGAGGGATGTGGAAGCACCAGGGATGTGATTCCCGGGAGGGATGTGGAAGCACCAGGACTGTGATTCCCAGGAGGGATGTGGAAGCACCAGGGCTGTGATTCCCAGGAGGGACATGGAAGCACCAGGGCTGTGATTCCCAGGAGGGACAGGGAAGCACCAGGGCTGTGATTCCCAGGAGGGACGTGGAAGCACCAGGACTGTGATTCCCAGGAGCTGCTGATTCCCAGAGGCTTTCCAGGAGCGGGAAATGTGGGAATGNTCTCGAAGAACTCCCCGCAGAACTCGCAGCGGATGTCGCGCGCCGGCTCCGACCCCGACGCTGCGGAGAGAGAGCAGCGTTCCAGAGGGAGAACTGCCCGGAATTCCCACTGCCTCCTGCCCACCCCAGAATTCCGGTTGCCTCCTGCCTACCCTGACCCCAAGACAATTAACTATCGTGTAATTAACTGGGATAAAGGTGGGATTGGGTTTGGGAGCGATATGGAATTTCTCACAGCGGATGTCGCGCGCCGGCTCCGACCCCGACGCTGCGGAGAGAGAGCGGCGTTCCAGAGGGAGAACTGCCCGGAATTCCGGTTGCCTCCTGCCCACCCCAGACAATTAACTATCGTGTAATTAACTGGGATAAACGTGGGATTGGGAGTGATGGCAAATGGAATTTCTCAAAGAATTCCACACAAAAGCTGCGCCAGCTCCGACCCCGACGCTGCGGAGAGAGTGGGATTCCAGAGGGAGAACTGCCCGGAATTCCAACTGCACAAATATTGCCATCCCCTCTCCCCTTCCTGAAGACAATTAACTATCGTGTAATTAACTGGGATAAACGTGGGATTGGGTTTGGGAGCGACGGTAAATGGAATTTCTCAAAGAATTCCCCACAAAAGCTGCGCCGGCTCCGACCCCGACGCTGCGGAGAGAGAGCGGCGTTTCAGAGGGAGAACTGCCCGGAATTCCGGCTGCCTCCTGCCCACCCCGGAATTCCGTTTGCCTCCTGCCCACCCCGATCCCCAGACAATTAACTATCGTGTAATTAACTGGGATAAAGGTGGGATTGGGTTTGGGAGCGATATGGAATTTCTCACAGTGGATGTCGCGCGCCGGCTCCGACCCCGACGCTGCGGAGAGAGAGCGGCGTTCCAGAGGGAGAACTGCCCGGAATTCCCGCTGCCTCCTGCCTACCCTGACCCCAAGACAATTAACTATTGTGTAATTAACTGGGATAAAGGTGGGATTGGGTTTGGGAGCGATGGCAAATGGAATTTCTCAAAGAATTCCACACAAAAGCTGCGCCAGCTCCGACCCTGACGCTGCGGAGAGAGTGGGATTCCAGAGGGAGAACTGCCCGGAATTCCCGCTGCCTCCTGCCTACCCTGACCCCAAGACAATTAACTATTGTGTAATTAACTGGGATAAATGTGGGATTGGGTTTGGGAGCGACGGCAAATGGAATTTCTCGCAGTGGATGTTGAGCACCAGCTCCGACCCTGACGCTGCGGAGAGAGTGGGATTCCAGAGGGAGAACTGCCCGGAATTCCGGCTGCCTCCTGCCCACCCCGGAATTCTGGCTGCCTCCTGCCTACCCCAATCCCCAGACAATTAACTATTGTGTAATTAACTGGGATAAAGGTGGGATTGGGTTTGGGAGCGATATGGAATTTCTCACAGCAGATGTCGCGCGCCGGCTCCGACCCCGACGCTGCGGAGAGAGAGCGGCGTTCCAGAGGGAGAACTGCCCGGAATTCCCGCTGCCTCCTGCCCACCCCGATCCCAAGACAATTAACTATCGTGTAATTAACTGGGACGAGGTTGGGGATAAATGTGGGATTGGGTTTGGGAGCGATGGCGAAAGGAATTTCTCACAGCGGATGTCGCGCGCCGGCTCCGACCCCGACGCTGCGGAGAGAGAGCGGCGTTCCAGAGGGAGAACTGCCTGGAATTCCCGCTGCCTCCTGCCCACCCCGATCCCCAGACAATTAACTATCGTGTAATTAACTGGGATAAATGTGGGATTGGGTTTGGGAGCGATAGCAAATGGAATTTCTCAAAGAATTCCCCACAAAAGCCGCGCCGGCTCTGACCCCGACACTGCGGAGAGAGTGGGATTCCAGAGGGAAAACTGCCTGGAATTCCCGCTGCCTCCTGCCCACCCTGACCCCAAGACAATTAACTATTGTGTAATTAACTGGGATGAGGTTGGGGATAAATGTGGGATTGAGTTTGGGAGCGATGGCGAAAGGAATTTAGGGAAATAAACCGACCAGGGGCATCCCAGGAAATGCTGTTGGGAATTCTGGGTTTTAACTGATTTCCTGTGGTGCCCAGGGGGCGGATGAGGATGATCCCGAAGGCTGGAAGTGGGGTTGAACGCTGGTAATTCCCCGGCCCTGGGGTCTGAAGGGATTCAGGCCTTAAAGCTG